CCCTCATACACATTTGGCTAGAGAAAAAATAATGTTTTTTTTTGTCTTTTTCATACAACATCTAAGTCGATTTTGAAATATTTTGGAAAAAATCTATTTTCAAAAATTGGCACAGCTAAAATAAAAAATGTGTATATGCTCTAGTGGAGAAAAAGTCTTAAAATTACATGTATTTTACGAATTTCGCTGAGGCAGACCTCTTAAAAAATCTTCCATACAAATTGACCCGCCCTAATATATATATATATATCATGGTTTTAAGAGCAAAGTAATTGCCACACATTTGTAACAGCATTGCTTAAATTTGAGATTAGGTAGTAGTGTTGAGAACTCGACTCTGTGGAAGAAAAAAAAAATGCTTACTATAACATAGTACTTGATGCCAAGTTGGTATCCTATCAATCAAAAAAAGGAAAGAAACAAAAAATATCACCATTAATATATCAATCAGTCTACATTAAATGAAAATAATTGAAGTACTTACTCAGGGCAAATTGATCGCAGACGTAGTAACCTAAGGAAGACGGCCGAAGAGGTGATGTATTTAATCTGCGGTAGCATTTGTCATATGTTGTCGTAAATCCATTAGAAATAGCACTTCGATTGAAATCATAATTGATTTGAAGATCTTGTATCATACACAATGCATATTGCGTAATGCATTCAGATTATGGTCCAAAACAATAGTTTGCTTGCGTCCATTGTATTGTTGATTCGCGAACAAACCAAACACACCCGCCAAGCTTGTGTTTTTGTATGCGAATAACCGCACTTGTTGCATACAATAGAAGATTCAAATGAACTCATTAGAATGTGATAAATAGTTCCGATGCAATGCTCCTTGTCCTCTGTTCCACTGCTACTACTACCAAATCTCAATTTTTCAGCAATCTGTTTGCTATCGCGATTTTTGTTTCATTTACAAATTTTTCTTAATTTAGGATCCATTATACCTCCTCTTGCGCACTTTTCAATAAATCCAATAACTTTTGTTCACGTTCAGTGGTCATGACAGCATCCTGCTGGTCTGATTCCCGTAACAGCAACTCTGAAGTGGAATAGAAATATCAGAAACATCATTTAAATTTTATAGATTATGATTTAAAATGTTGTCAATAATGATGAATTTACCTAGTTTTTCTGTTTGACGACACAACGATTGAAATAGTACTTCTTTTTCTTCGCTCAGACGATCGTTATCTGATTGAAGTTCCGATAGTTGTAATTGTAAATCGGCCAACTCTTGTAATGTTGCTTGTAGTTCTTCGTTTGTTGAATAGTGCGTCTCTTCCATCTATGAATCCGAGCGAACATGATTAGTTGTTTGTACAGAAACCATTGCCGTTGAACGCAAAGTATATTTATAATTTTTTCAAATCAACAAATAATTGGAGAGAAAAGAAATTTGTTTCCGTTTGAATAAAAACGTACATAAACAAAATATCACTTGAATGTTAGAATAAAATTGGATTAAGCACTGAGACATTTAATTAAAATAACATTAAAAACTAACAACAATCAATGTAAAATAAAATTGCTAAAAAATTCGTTTTGAGTGAAAATGTTATTATTTTTCATAATGTATAGATTGTTGACAGACTTAATTTTGTTTCGGTCTCACTTGTTTCGATTGATATCTCTCTCATTCATATTGTTATAACAATCTAATTCACAAGTGACAGTTGTCAACGTTCGACAATGTATATGTATATTTATTTGTTCACTTTGTGGTCTGTGTTAAAGTCGATTGGTGCGCAATTCGTACCGCTCAATTTACTTTCAACATTATTTCATTTTTCTTTTCCACATTTTTTTGTCTTTTAATACTGGAGACAGAAAGTATATTTAATTGCACAATTCAAATGCAAGTGTGAATCAAAACCATTTTCATCAAATTCATCGCCATTAAAAAAATAGTCAAGTAATATGTAAATAGTTTTTGGTACGTTGCCGAAAAATATATGTTGCAGCAATAACAGTCTGCTGCTTTTCATCTGAAACCGACTTATTTTGGATTTGTGCGGTAACTTTAGCAAACGATTGACCGCAATTGCGAGTATCTTGTTCTTTGGTTCGAAAAATCGCTGAATTGGAGTTTAAAAACAAAATCACACTAACAAACGAAATTATATATGTGTGAGTTTTTTTCTTCTCGCAACGGTTGTAATTTAAACTATGTATTATGTATCGTCGTGGAGTGTTGTGCTGTTCGTTCTGCCTTACCGAAAAAGCGTACAATTTTTTCTTGTTTTGTTTTTTCGTTTGTTGCACATTAAAAATAACTTATATGCCTATGCGTATGTGCGATGTTCTAATAGATACATTCGCGAATTGGAACAAACACAATTGTTAACGACTTGAATTACTTGTAAAATCTTCGTTCGGCGCGAAATATAAAGACAGAAAATTTTCCGATGGTCGCTATAGCAAATTTTGCATTTTTGTTAGAGCTTTTGCACATGTTCTGATAAATGAAAGTTGTAATGAATGAATAATAATAGCATGAATCATTTACAAAATAATCAATTATTTTCGATTTTTTCGCAAGATTGCATGCAAATCATACAAATACCAGATCTTTTTTATCATGTTGGCATCGTGTTATTAATTCATATCGCTCTTTTATCGAAAAATGTTTTCTATCTATCAATTAATACCCTTTTCGATAATACTGTAGATTCATTTGATGCGAATTCTTATAGATTATCCACTTTTTCTATACGTTTATTTTTATTTTTATTTTCTTTGAAAATGGAAAAGATTGGGGTATAAATATAATCAACAGGCCCCCTTTACAGATTGAATTTTGGATATTTATGATGGAGTTGCATTATTTAATAAGAAAAAAAAAGTACTTAAAGCTAGAATTGGTAATTATCATGGCTGAAAAAAGTGAGGATTAAAATAAGTTTTGATGATTTGTTATTGAGAGAGGAAAAATATGTTTGTCTTGATCTAAATTTGTAATTTTTTGTTTAGTAGAGTTGTATTAAGAGGTTCAATTTGCAATTAAAATATTTAAACCAAATTGGTATTATCTAAAGCCGTTCCATAGTTCTAATGGAAGAGCCTGGTTTATCTGATTTTTAGTGAAAGATAGCGAGCCATTTAAGATATCAATATTTGGAAAAAATTCATTATGTTGTCTGGTTAGTCTTAAGGACAATGAGTAAAATTCTACATTAGAAGTAACCGGCGTAGATAGAAGATAGGGTTAAAACGAGTAACTCTGATTGGTACTTCGATATTAAAATCACCATTTATGATTTTATACAAAAGTAATTCATCAAAATATAATCGTCTGTTAAAAAGTGACGTCATATTTAGTTTACACGTGTGATATATGTGTGATATCCTTCAATATAAATACATTTTAATCATACGTACTTATATATGCTTACATTATTTATTTATTTATTTATTCACCGTCTGATCACATTATTATCATTGAAATTCATTTGTTTGATTTGATCGATTTTCGGTTGTTTTTTGTCACGTCTGCTCGCATCGAACAAAATATTTGAATTCAAATCTGGTAGATTTTGTGTTTATGTTTTTTTTTGCCCATAACCATTTCAAGAACGATACAATCGAATGAAAATTAAAATAATCACCGATAGATGGCGTATCGTCTAGTTGCTTGTATATACGCGACCAATATAAACATAAATGCAAAGTGTATTGGTCATTGTTTCAGATTGTATTAATTATGTGCAATCACATACACATACACAGTAGCAGCTAGTTTGTCGGCACTGTTATTACGAAATGTCAAATAATCTTTCGCACTTACACAGCGAGCTCCAATTGGAATAGTTGAAATAATTTACTCTCGAAGGAAAAAAAACCGTAATTAATTTTTAGTGTGCTCAAAATCAAACAAGCCTCAATAATTATCGAATAAATTCATATTGATTCTGAAAATAAAAACACCCGACAATATAAATACGGGTCCTAAGGGAACCGATCAAGTCTTTTCTAATCAAATGAAAATATTTCCATACAGTCATTTAATCGGATGATGATTATGATGATGTTGGCGAGGCACACAGTAATGTCACGCACACACCTAGTTTAGTCTCGCCACAGTCCTCGACACTTTCGACACAATCGAAACGCGTACGATTCGATCAAAGCAATCAACAGCAACAACACTCAAATTCGTTAGGCCATCATTCACCAATTCACCAAAATATACAAAATGCCGGCACATCGTCGACATACAGTCAAATCGAAATGAAATGCCAAGATGTGTTTTCTTACATGACAAGAATAATAGCTTCGGCCGCAGCACATCGTCAAATTGGTAAAATTTTGAATTCGCCTAGGATTTATGCAATTTTTTTTGTTTTCTAAAACATCGTTCACACTTTTTCATAACATGTGAGATGAAGCGAGATCCTTTGAAGTTGAAGCGGATCTGGTGGATTAGGTGGATCCGACCTGGTCCAAAGTCTTCCCAAATGTCCACTTCATGTCATTTCATCTCAGTTCACATGATATTTTCGAGTGAACTGCATTCATATGTGAGAGTTATGATGAAATGACCTGGAAATGGATCGTCGTGCAAGAAGTCGTGAACGTTGTCTAGTCATCAATAAACAAATGGATGAAGATGAAAAGAACAAACCGGCTGAAGTTGCCGCAGCAAAGGCCAAACTTCAGGCCGAAGCAGCAGCCAAAATTCATAAAACCACCACTCACCAGTGCTTATAAAACGCACGCTCAACGCGATACGTAACTCAATGTGTTGAGTTTTCGAATGCACGGTGCGCTTGTCCACTCACCGAACAAGTGCGAGAGCAACTCACTACTCGCTCAAGTCACATTATGAGTGAGCTAAATCTCGCTCACACCACTCATACATTTACTTAAAAATAAACATAAAAAACATTATACAAAATGAAGGATAAAAGGGAATTTTTTCGTCTTTTCGACTCTTTTTGCTGTTACTAGGCAGGTTTATACTAGGGGACATTCGTAGCAATTCTAGTAAGCTAGTTTTACTTACGTATTCGCTAATCGCTTACTAGTATTACTAGTGAGTACACTAGTGCTGCTAGTAGCTGCTAGTTTTTCTAGTGTTTTGAAATTACCTAGACGTATCGTATGATACATAAAAGAAACAACAGTAATGCTTAAGTCGCTTGTAAACGAACCAAGTGCCGCTATTCACGCACGATAACGAAGTGAGTGTATTGCGGCAACGGATAACAACCTTCGTTGTCGCTATTCACTCACTTCATTTTCGTGCGTCTCCGCTATTCACTTGGTTCGTTTGCAAGCGACTTACGCATGCTACAATATATTTTACATGCCTCAATTCATTTGCTTTGGACTATAATACGCTAGTGCTTGCTAGTCGCTGCTAGTTGCTGCTAGTTTCACTAGTTTTTCTAGTATGAATGTCCCCTAGGGTTTATATGACACTTTCAGAGACTCGGTACAATACACAAAAATATTGAATTTTTTTTTCAATAGTTTTGTATTATACCGAGTTTTCGAGAGTTTCATATAAACATGCCTAGTAACAGCAAAAATAGAGTCGAAAAGACGAAAAAAAAATTTCGACTTGAGTGAGTAGCTACTCACTCAGTTTTCTAGTTGAGTGTTGTTTGCAACTAACATTAGCGACTCAGTGATCTCTAGCGCTCACTATACATTGAGTTATATGCTGCTCCCCGAGAGTGCTCGGTGCGATGCGGTAGCACTGCCACTCACAACAAATCAAAATCAATCTGTCGTCCAATTGCCGAATATGTGCCACGAAAACGATTGCCAGGTGTCAAATATACATGGGTTCGATGTGCGCCAAATTTGACCGTGTATCAAGTCATTCCGGAGGCATGTTTTGGTCGTATCTACATCCAAATCGACAAGCGTGGCCTCTTCGAAATCCTTAAGCGGCTGAAAAACACAAAGTACAGGAAATTTTTAAGGACAATGGCAGCAATAAACGATGGCAACAAAGAACTGTGGGATCGCATGTGGCGTAAATATTTCGGCATCAGTAAAATCGAACGCCATCTGGCCGGCTTAACATTCGCCAATCAAATACAAACCGATGGCAATGCATTCGTTTTTCTGATGAGCAAAGAGAAGACGAAGAAGAAAAACGATGCAACTGATGCTGAAACCAAAGAACGGCTACGAAATATACTACGCCACTGTCATCGCGAAGTAAGATTTGATGTTATCGATCGTGAAACAATTTAGGAAAAAGAAAAAATATCGCCCACGGAATTCGGACGACTATGGCCGCCAGCCAAAAGTCGAACTGAAACGCTTCAATATGATCGATGGAATATTCCAAGCATATGCTTATGCCGGCTGCTGAAAATGCTGCGATATTATCAGTGAAGAGGCCACGAACACATTTGCGACGTCGGCGCCTAGATGTCATCGCATGGAAATACATACAAAATGATGATGATGTTGGTGAAACGACAAAAGTCCGTTCGGTTACATTGAATCGAGACACTAATGCCGGTCGAAATATTCGACTTCGCGGTAAGTTTACAGTGAATGATTTATTTTTTTATATTTTTTGAATGATATTAAATTCAATACAACCCGATTTTTATCATACATGTACTTGGGTCATCATGAGCTATTGGGAATAAAATTGCCAGATGCATTCACAGTCGATGCCAAGACACAAAAGCAACATGAGGAGCGACGCTTCAAAGAATTTGATGAAAATAAGCGTAAAAAGCAACAAAAGGTAATAATATATTGTGTGCGATTACATTGTTTGTTGAATATAATTTTTGAATTCATCTGATGAAAAATGTGAATTTGATTATTCTGTTTACATTTCAGTGTCAAACAACAAATTTCGATGAAGCTGAATACGATTCGGATCAGCCATGGTGGTCGTCAAGCAGCGAAGAAGATGCAATCGATTTGAGCAACAGTAAATTGTCAGACAACAGTGATGATAGTAATGATAGCGGTAGTAGTAGCGGTAGCTACGACGATGGAGGAAACTGATAATAGCATCGTTCACACACTACACATCGCTCATTAAAATCAACAATCAATCAAACAAATAAATGAAAAATTAATTTAGTTTAATTTAAGGAACAATGTTAATAGTTCTTATCATGAAGTCTGGCTACATAGCGTGGATCCCCTAACCGATATGAAATAAAGAGTGAGTGGACCCCCTAATACAATTCTACTAAGAAACAAATTACAAATTTGGATTAAGACAAACATGGTTTTCCTCTCTCAATAACCCATAATTAAAACCTATTTTGTATTTTATATCAATTTCCTTTGTAAGTTATCCAATTTTTTATAAAATCTTAATGATTTATTTCTAATTAATTTTAATTACCTGAATAATTTTATCCTGTAAACATGCCACTGAAACTTCACTGCTAGATGAATGCTTATCCCAATCAGGTGTTGTGATACATGGTGATCCTTCACCATTCTTTTTAAATCGGAAATTTAAATATAAGTTAGCTTTATGTTTTGGAACTAATTTTTTTTGGTGTTAAATTGAGAAATTCAAAGTCTTTAAAAATAACTGACACGACATCGTCAATTTTCGATTGTTGATTATAGAAAATAAGTGATTTCATAAATTAAAAATTATATAATAGAATATTTTACATTTGGTAGAGCTATTGATGCCGGTGCCGAGCTATGTAGTCGGTGTTGAGAATCATCAATAATTTGTTGCTTCTCCGTATCAGACAAAGGTGAATTTACAACGTCTCGTAAACGATTTCGTAATGATTCATTCTCTTCACTTAGTTGTTGACTTTCTTTGATCGCTTTATCGTAGTTGACCTTCAACAATAAAACCAAAATAGATTGGTGAACATTTTAGTCAATGAACTCTAACAATGGTATTTCAAAAAACGACCCAATTGGTGCACATCACAGAAAATGACACCAAAAAACTATATTTAATATTATTCATTTTGAAATGAAACAAATTCATTAAACCCAGATAGCTTTCAAAAATATATAGAATATGCTTTTATTAATGGTTTCTGAGAAAAAGAACCAGAAAAAATCATGAAGATTTCGTCTTTGAGGCACTCGGTGTATCTTATATTAAAAATATCTGTGCATTTTGTGTCAAATGAAGATAAACTTCCATCACAGCGGACAGCAGTTCGGGCGAGTGACGAAAATTCCTTGATGTAGAAAAAAGTCGACTCGCTATATATACACGAAGCATCCAAAATCCAAACCCAGAGCCTCTGATGTATGCCCCTGGGTCATGAAACATGCGATACACAATCTTTTCACTCTTTTCCAAAAACAGAAACGAAAAACTTCACAGAATTGAGTTCCCCATACAAAATATATGACGGGCACTGAGTGACCCAGAGAACAAATCGCTATATGTTTTGTGTGGGCCTTTTTTCAGAATCCATGGCATTATCAAATGCATATTTAATATTTTTGTGTAGGAACGGAAGCCGACAAGATAAAAAAAAATTGATGCACAAAGCACACATCACGGTGCAAAATAAAAATTGCAATAAACCTCAATTTGTATGAAAACGTGGTCCCACAGCAATGAAATCCCTACTACCGTGCTAGATGATGTCGACACGAGTGGACGGATTTTTAAATTTATTTGAACGACGTCATGTTACTATACTTGTCCATTACAACGTACATGTAACAGAAGAAACACACAGTCCATGTCCTCGCTAGTGGACATAAACGAATTGAACCGTCAATGTGAACTAGATCAAGTATAGAACTTTACATAGGATCATATACGATGAATATGGATTACACAGTCTGTTTCAAAATACCGTCACCAATGTCGACACCATTTGACATCAAATTTTTGACAGTAAAAATATGTGTTATTGTTGTTGTCGTTTCATTGCTGTGCGTGGTCCATTTGTTTTATAAGCTCACATTGATTTTTAATAAGTACCTGAAGTTTAACAATTTCGCTTTGTAACATCAACATATCGTTTTTGTATGATGACATTTCGATTATTTTAGATTCAAGTTCCATTTTGTCACGTGCAACTTGTTCGAGATTCTCTTGCAATTCCTGAATGATTTGATATTGCTGTAAATGAAAGTACATTTTGATTACAATTCATGTGATATGTGCATTGGTTTGGCCATACCTGAAGTTCGTCGTTACCATTGAATGTACAATCTTCAGGGAGTTCATCACTTAATAAATCTCGCATCGAACTCGAATAGCAACTGCCACATCCATCATCTACACCAACTTCTGTATCGATATCTTTAAGTTCTCCGGCAACCACTATACCAATGCATGTGCCTGCTACATTTTGATTTACACCTGATGGTACGACCGTAGATCCGATTATTAATCTATCAGGTGAATGTTCTGTCATCGATAATTGATATAGTTCAGTACGTGTGTGGTGTTTATTATGTTGTGGAGTACCGGTCGGTGATGTTGATGTTGATAATACACTATTGCTGGCACCGTCACCGACGACAATCGATGAATGTGACTTACTATTTGCCAGGCTACTAATAAAACCGCTGGTACTTTCGCCGCCGCTACTTGTGCTATATAATTTTGGGCTGGAGCTTTTTTTTATGTCAAGACTCTCGCGCGATTCACAAAACGTTGAATCAAAACGATCATTTGAGCCGGTGTGCGGGACTTTTTTAAGTGAGGCTTTTGTTGATTTCGGTGTTACTGCCGTAGACGACGATGATGCTGTTGATAAACCAATACTGTTTAAGCTTGATGTAGATGCAGCACCACGTATTTGGCTGCTTGCATTTGATGATTGCTTTGAAGATCCATTTGATGGACCTTGTCTACGAAACAACGATTTTAATTTGATCATTGTTCATTTAAACGATTAAATTGGATATTATTTGATAGAATTTCGATTGGAAAATTGGATTTTATGCACAATCAAACGACTTATTGTGAGAGATGAATACACTAAATGTACGTGTAATCTAGATTCGTTTTGATGACAGTCTGTTATTTGTAAATATTTCTTTATTCTTATCCTTCCCTTTGTTGATGCCTTCTATTTTTGCCTCTTTGGTTGTATATAAAAGCATCACTTTCTACAGAATCCAAATGAAAATGTATAAAATTTACAAATTTGATTTTTTGTTGTCCAATAGTCATACTTTTAGATCACTCAAACCACCATCCTTTTCAAAACAAATCTGTGTATACAAATAGATTCTATTTATTATTATTTTATTATTTTATTATTATTAAGCAAAATGTTCAACTAAAAAACCAGAATTAGTTAAATAGTCACTATGTTATGTAGTTTCGCATGATAAATTACTATAATCTATAAAATGTTGTTGTTGTAATTTGTTTTTATAGAGTGAACGTGTGTGTGCATTGATGAGTGCAGAAATCATATTGCCTTAGTGAAATTTTGTTTGTAAATGCTATATAATTCTCAAACAAAATTATTCTAGAACAAAATTGAATCCAGTGATATAAAAAAAATGATTCTGTATTACGGTGTTAATAAATATTGACCATTTATCGAACGAGCATTTTTTTCTTGAACATTTTTATTTAATAAGTTTGTTTTTGTTTTTTACAAATATTGTGCTGCAATTTATTCAATTTCTTGGTGTTATTCGGTAGCATCTGGGGCCAACATTTAACATTCTAAGCCCGTATCGAAATTTCAAATTAACTATTATTAATTTTTTTTTGTTCAATGCATGCATAAATTTTTGCTGCTTATATTCGTGTATGCAATGATTTTTTTATAAAGTGAATAAAAATATTTATTGAGGCAGCATTTTATCAATTCATTTAATCATTACTTATTTATCACTATTCAATACGCAGAAAAAAACTTCCTACTGTTTATTGAGAAATGAAGAGCAAGCAAAAAAAACTTGAATTCATGTGTGCACATATATACATTTGATTATTAACACACAATCGTATTTAATGTCATCAGTGTAATTTACTACTTAAACACAAAAACCAAAAACAACTGAATGTTACAATATGCCTTGGAAAACTGAGAGAACGAATAATGGCTACACAACAATAATGAAATTTGTTACCAATTTTAACTGTGGTTTTTATATTGAATGATTTCAAAAACCGCCAATAATCAATAAGCCAATAATCTTTTGAATCATATGACTTGAATGCGTGTTGATCTATGATAATTTATTTGAATATTTTTCACTTTGTGTCTCATTCGTGGCCAATGCAATACCTTAGCTATGTTGTCTCTTGCATGTTCAAATTTGCCATACATATACACACAGCAAATATTCATCTACCACTGGTTAGATATTATAATTACTTTATTTTATTACAAAACTAGCGCTGTCACAAGACGGATATCATATTGTGAATAGAAATCTTATAGAATCAAATAAGTTTACTGAAAAATTAGAAACGAACGTAAAAATATTATAACGCTATTTATTTTTATGAATATAATATTGATAAAAATTAATCCTAAACTCTTAGCTGGTTGTCTTTAATGAAATTTATTTCGAAGTGGAAAGAATACTATCTCCGGCCACATTGAAAATGCAAATTTCAGAAATATATCATATTGTGTTTAATCAATGGTCAATTTGGATAATTGATGGAAGAATTTTGATTTTTTTCCAGTGATCTTGACTAAAATATGTTTAATTCAATTAATAGCATCCACAGTTTTGTATTCTATGCCAAAAAAAGTGTGTCTATTGCCCATATGTATATGTCATGTTGTATTGAATTATATTAAATATGTGTGTATTGCATTGTGAATGGTTATGTTATACCATCGTATCGAATAAGATTGTATGTTTTTTTTTTAATTTTGTTGGTTTCAGAAAGTTTTGATATAATCTCATATCCACATTAGCCGAACATTTGTTGCAATATATATTCGTTTTGCTGCAATTGGTCATTGCCTTATAATCGCATAATATTAACATTTAAATTGTTGTTTTATTTTACATTATATGAAAGTAATTAGTTCATGCATGCACACGTTCACACAACCATGTACATATGTATTTCTTCTATTTCTTGTTGCTTCACTCACTAAAAAACAATAAATTTAAATGAGTTATTCACAATTTTTTTGATGTTTTTTGTTGTTTTTCACATTATTGTTGTTAAAAAAAATCGGTGTATTTTCTACCATCAAACTTTTTAATAAAATTCAACAACTGCATCACACCTCGATGACGGATCAAACAATTGTAGTCTTGGTCAAATTTTTTAAGTCTATAGGCATGGCACTATGACGATGATGGCAAAATTTAAAACAAAAAATGTGATCATTCATACTTTTTATTTCGATTTATATATATAAATATGGGTTTTTCGCGTTTACATTAAAAACAAATAATATCAATCACAATATTTCGTATTTTTCACAGTCGCTACGATCACCATAACAATCAACTCTGTCAAAGCAAAACTTGTGTTGCCAATATCGATGAGGATATATGAAGACCGATAAAACAGTACGAAATAAAGAAATTTTTATTATATATTCTACACTTCAATTCACTGTTGAAATTTTATGCTGTTCCCCGTGCAGTGTTCGCAATATATGAAAGACAGAAAATGAAAGAAAAAATCTATCTAATAGATAAAAAGAGAGGGAAAAGTGGTAACGAAACACAAACAGAGACTGTAGAAAGAGAGGGATAGCACAAAATAAGACGAGGAACAAACCACAAAACGATATGAATTGTTAGATAAGGACGAAGAATGAAGCGCTATACACAATACAAAACTGACGAAAACAGCGACATCAAAAAAAACCTATAGCAACTGTCAAAAAGACACATACACACATCGCATCTTACTAATACAAACAGAGACTGGAATATATCTTGTAAATTGTATACTTAACAATTAGGTAAGTACAATACAAACGTAAGTCGTTTTGCGGCATTCATATTGTATTTTCGCAATATTGGATGTATCTATATATGTTTGGATATACATACATACGATTCCGTCTATGTATGTGTTCATCTATTTTGTTATATATTTCAATCAGTGCTGAATGAAGATCTAACAAATATATACCCAAAATAAATCTATATTTTCATGTGATCTTTTTGTATGTATGTACCGAGTGGTGAATTATAATTATTTCAACCAACTTATGGGGGCAGGGCCACCAAATCAAAGCGAAAATAATATTATTATTATTCAATAAATGTGGAAAATTCCACATTACGACAATATGAATGGGTCAGAATAAAAATCCGACTTGTACGCAGAGTCTATAAAAGTGGAACACAGCGTTTTTTTTTACATAGAATTGTTGTTGTATTACAACAAATAAACTATGTAAAAAAACTCCATATTCCACTTTTATTGACTCTGCCTACAAGTCGGATTTTTATTTTAACCCATTCATATGTGCAAAAGAATAGAGTCAATACAAAAACCATTTTGACTGGGACAAATTCAGACTACCGAAATATGAACATAGACTGCTGTTTCTACAAATGATTACGCTTGAGGAGAGACGCAACATGGCACAAGTGTCTTTCATCTTTAAAATTATTCACAGAGATATGAAGTCAGCTCATATATCAAACAGTTTGAACTATTATGGTACAGCTCATAATACGCGTACAACACCGCTTTTTCATATACCAATAAGAAGAACAGATTATACTAAATTTGAACCTATAAATTATATGCTTACAACATTTATTGATTATTATACTAAAAGGATACCAAACAGTGATACTAATTTGATTGATTTAGAAATTAATTTATCAACAGTCAAACTGAGAATTGAAAAATATTTAAAACAAAATAGATAGAATTGAATAGAAAATTATTAATCTCCTTCAAAACTACTAGATGTAAGAATATAATTATTTTGTAATAGAAAATTATTTTAAAAAGATCAGAATCATCAAAAACTATTATTTATCTCTCTCAGGATTGCTTGATGGAAATATTATACATATTTATTTAAATTATTTTGAATAAACCACCAAGGCGAAGAAATGCTGTTCAGCGCAGCTATTATTATTATTTAAATACTACCATTGAAATCAAAAATCAAAACTACAATAATAATGACTGCATCGAACAGCGTTCTTCGCCTTGGTGGTTTATTCAAAATAATTTAAATAAATAAATATAATATAATATATATAATCTAGCATTTTTCTATGTAAATAATGTAAATTTCATCAATTCATTCTACAACTGCTAATAATTTCTAATAATAATAATAACTGCACCGAACAGCGTTCCTTCGCCTTGGTGGTTTATTGAATATATTTTAAATAAATACAAAATAATTATATTCTTACATCTAGTAGTTTTGAAGGAGATTAATAATTTTCTCAGTATGTTTTCTATTCAATTCTATCTATTTTGTTTTAAATATTTTTCAATTCTCAGTTTGACTGTTGATGAATTTACTTCTAAATCAATTAAAGTAGTATCACTGTTTGGTATTTTTTTCGTATAATAATCAATGAATGTAGTAAGCATGTAATTAATTGGTTCACACTTCGTGTAATCGCTTCTTCTAATCGGTATATCAAAAAGCGGCGTTGCACGGGTATTATGCGCTGAATCATAATAATTTAAACTGTTTGATATATGGCTCGACTTCATATCTCCATTAATAATTTTGAATATAAAAGACACTTGCGCCATCTCGCGTCTCTCCTCAAGCGTAATCATTTGTAGAAACAGCAGTCTATGCTCATATTTAGGAAGTCTATAGCTGTCCCAGTTCATTCTCATTAGCGCAAAAAGTAAAAATTGTTTTTGTCATATTGTTTGTGTTATTATTACTCTATTTTTTTGCACATATTGTCGTAGTGTGGATTCCATATTTCTGATCCATATTCTATAATTGGTAATACAAATGTAAAATAAAGGCGTTTAATTGTCCATGGGTCAATAAAATCCTTGCTGTAGAACTTTAGCCAAGCCAATCTTGATTTTGCTTTAGCCGTGACATGCTCAATGTGTGATTTGAAATTCATTTGCACATCAAGCAACACTCCCAAGTCCTTTATTACAAAGACTCTTTCTATTTGAACGCCGCCTATGTTGTATTTGTATTCATATTGCAGTGATCCCCGATGATATGATATGATCTTTGTTTTGTTTACATTTAATTTCAATAAATTGCGTCCATAATAGAGGTGCCCACTGAACCGAACTGAACAGTTTATGTTCGAAAAATATTATATTTTCATGTTCGTGTTCGTTCGGGTTCGGTTCAAGTTGATCGCAAAAAAATATTGCAATCATATTCGTTCACGTTCGGTTTACGTTCGGT